CCATCCCTATCCCAACATTCCCAAAATTCCCAATATTCCCAGTATCCTGTCTACCACCCCTCCCAGTCCTGAGAATCCCAAATTTTCCACCGGGAACACTCGGAATTTCCAAAAAACCACCGACTCCTCATTCCCCCCTCCACCCCTATCCCAACATTCCCGACATTCCCAAAATTCCCAGTATTCCCAGTATTCCCTCCATTGCCCATCCCTGACCCAGGACACTCCAAGAATCCCAGATTTTCCACCGGGAACACTCGGAATTCCCAAAAAACCACCGACTCCCCATTCCCACCTCCACCCCTATCCCGCCACTCCCGACATTCCCGGAATTCCCGCCGTTCCCTCCGTCACCCACCCCGGCCCCGGGACAGCCGGGGGGTCCCTTGCTGTGGGTCAGGAGCGCTCGGCATTCCCGGAAAACCCCGGGATTCTCCGGGTTCTCCCCCTCGTCGTCGTTCCCGACTCCTCCGTCCCCATCCCGAGGAATTCCCGAGGAATCCCCGGAGGCTCCTCCGGGAGCCACCGTGGCCAAGGCGGACAAAGAAGTGGCCAGTTCGGCCCAGGGGGTCCGAGGGGGGTTATTCCCGGAATTCCCGGAGTTCCCGGAGTTCCCGGGATTCCCGGAATTCCCGGGATTCCCGGGGCGGCAGCGGAGCACCAGCAGGAAGCGGACGGTCTCTCCCAGATAAAGGTGATTCCGGCGGGGAAGGGCCCGGTACCCTCCGGATTCTCCCGCCAGGAATTCCCGGGGCGGGAAGGGCACGGCCGGGAAATACATGGAATAGTCGCACTGGGATTCCATGGGAATGCTGGGAATTCCAGGGGGGGTGAATCCTTGGGAGGAGTGTTGGGAATTCCCAGGGAATGGGGGGGTTGGTGGAGGGAATTTTGGGAATTCCAGGAGGAGAGGGGGGGTTAATTCCAGAGGGAATTCCCAGGGAATGGGGGGGTTAATCCTGGGGTTTATCCCAGTGGGAATTTTGGGAATTCCAGGAGAAGAAGGGGGTTAATCCTGGGGTTTTTCCCGGAAGGAATACTGGGAATTCCAGGGGGGGTTAATCCTTGGGAGGAGTGTTGGGAATTCCCGGGGAATGGGGGGGTTGATGGAGGGAATTTTGGGAATTCCAGGAGAAGAGGGGGGTTAATTCCAGAGGGAATTCCCGAGGAATGGGGGGGTTAATCCTGGGGTTTTTCCCAGTGGGAATTTTGGGAATTCCAGAGGGAATTCCTGGAGAATGAGGGGGTTAATCCCGGGGTTAATCCCAGTGGGAATTTTGGGAATTCCAGGAGAAGAGGGGGGTTAATTCCAGAGGGAATTCCCAGGGAATGGGGGGGTTAATCCTGGGATTTTTCCTGGAAGGAATATCGGGAATTCCAGGGGGTTAATCCTTGGGAGGAGTCTTGGGAATTCCCAGGGAATGGGGGGGTTGGTGGAGGGAATTTTGGGAATTCCAGGAGGAGAAGGGGGGTTAATTCCAGAGGGAATTCCAGGGGGGCTCCAGGGTTTGTCCCAGTGGGAATTTTGGGAATTCCAGGAGGAATGGGGGGGGTTTAATCCCAGTGGGAATCCTGGGAAGATGAAGGGAATACTGGGAGGTCAATCCCGGTGGGAATCTTGGGAATTCTGGAGGGATAACGGGGGATGAATCCCGGGAATGCTGGCGGGAATGGGAGGTTGATCCCGGGGGGAATTCCAGGAATTCCAGGGGGAGGATCTCAGGAATTCCAGGGGGAATCCCAGGAATTCCAGGGGGAGGATCCCGGGGTCAATCCCGGGGGGAATCTCGGGAATTCCAGGGGGATCCCGGGGGAAGCATCCCAGGGAATGCAGGGGGTGAATTCCAGGGGGAATTCCAGGGGGAATCTTGGGAATTCCAGGGGGGATAATGGGGGTTTAATCCCAGGGGGAATCCTGGGAATTCTTGGAGGGATAACCAGGAAGGATCCCAGGGA